AAGTGTGCTCTGGGCGTGTGTGCGCCGGGGGGGGGGGCTCTGCAACTTACCTGGCTGCTTCTTGCTCTGACTGAGGGCTGCTGGGAGCAGGGGGCGGGGCTTGTTGCATGTGCCCGCCCCCTGGGCTCTTTACTGCCGGAGCTCCGCTCCTGTGTGCTCCTGCACGAAATGACCCCTGCAGTCTTGCGGGAAAGTCTTGTGAAGTCTGAAACCTATCAGGGAGGGAACGGCCCCTCTCCCCCAGCTGTATCACATGGCGGCCTGTACAGAAGGTGGGGGAGAGGGGCTGTGGATCCTTCCTTGATTCAGGACCCCCTAAGATCCTACATTTCTCCCTCCCGCTTCTCTCGCGACATGCGCACACGCCACTGCAAATGTTGACGCGCGCGCGATCCGCCTCCCTCTCGGGAATCCATTCCGGGTCCTGGTCGCCTCCAGAGCATTCATTTCAGAGTCGTCTCCCGGTGGGTTTTGTGACACAACACCACCCCCACCCCCCGGGCCCAGCAATGTGACTTTTCAGACGCCCACGCGGCTGCCTTGTGCCGGGGTCCAGACGCCGCAGGGCTCCCTCTGCTTTCCCGGGTGGGGTTTCTGTGGCCGGGCGGGACAGCAAGGGCTTTGCGGTGACCTGAGGAAGAGCCACCGGGGCGGGGCCTCCTGCTGTCACATTTGGAGCTGCCTCGGATGCCAGCCCAGAGCGCTTTAGATGTAAGCTTTCCTGCCCGTAGAGCAGAGTGAGCCGGGGACACCCGGTGGCATTCCGCGGCGATCTTCAGGGGTCACGAAGCCTGAACTGGAGCAGCGGACGAAAGCGCTCCCTGTGGCTAGAAAGCCCTTCCAGGGCCAGCCTGGTGCCACCAGCTCAGGAGGCTACCCGTGGCAAAGTGGCTTTTTTGGGGTAGGGGGGGTTGTTTTATTGCCTTGGATCCAGTGCCCAAGAAGAGCTCTCCCCCATCCAACTGAGTTTGGACCTCCCCGTCCTACAGTATGACCCTGGCCAGAGGGTCAGCCAGTTTGGTGTCGTGGTTAAGCTGTCCTTTACGGTGTCTCATGCGTGCGTCTATGTGCCAGCTACACCAGAGAGCCAGTTTGGTGTCGTGGTTAAGTGCGTAGACTAATCTGGGAGAACCGGGTTTGATTCCCCACTCCTCCCCATGCAGCTGCTGGTGTGACCTTGGGTCAGTCACAAGTTTTCTCCCAGGAGCAGTCCTCAAAAGAGCTCTCTCAGCCCCACCTACCTCACAGGGTGGGGAGGGGAAGGGAATGGAGTTTGTAAGGCACTCTGAGACTGAGTGAAGGGCAGGGTATAAATCCAATCTCTCGGTGTAGTGTTTAAGTGCGCGGACTCTAATCTGGGAGAACCGGGTTTGATTCCCCGCTCCTCCACTTGCACCTGCTGGATGACCTTGGGCAAGCCATAGTTCTGACAAGAGCTGTTTTTGAAAAAAAAGCAGTTTCTGTCAGAGCTCTCTCAGCCCCACCGACCTCGCAGGGTGTCTGTAGTGGGGAGGGGAAGGGAAAGGCGTTTGTAAGCCGCTCTGGGACTCCAAGTGAAGGGCGGGGTATAAATCCAATCTCCTCCTCCTCCTCCTCAGAAAGGACTTTCGTCCCAAGCAATTCTCCCCCTAAGCTGTGGGGTCTTGTGAGCAAAAATCCTACTTGGTGAGCTCCTGGCATTAAAGTTGTGAGCAAGCGATTTGGCTACTGCATAAATCCGTCGGCTCTGGAGCCCTACTTCCTGAGCCGAGACAAAAATGTGTGAGCTGGAGGCTAAAAAAGCTGTGAGTCAGCTCACACTAACTCGGCTTAGAGGGAACTCGAGCCAAATTGGTATGCGATCTTGGTTCCGGCCCGGATTCTTGTGCCTGACCTTGACTCTCTTGCCCTAGTCTCCCGGAGCTGTGTGCTCCGCCAGCGGTCACCTCTCTGTCGCACATAATGGCATAAGAACACAAGAGCCCGGCTGGATCAGACCAACGTTGAGTTCACACGGCAGCGGGCAGACCAGCTTCTAGGAACGGGGGATAGATCCGACGCCTTGCCGGCACCCAACTAACCTTCTCTCCCCTCTCTCGCCCCCCGCAGGACTCGTCCAGATCCCCGTGAGCATGTACCAGACGGTGGTCACCAGCCTCGCCCAGGGCAACGGTCCCGTTCAGGTCGCCATGGCCCCTGTGGCCGCACGGATAACGGACAGCACCGTCACGATGGATGGCCAGGCAGTGGAAGTCGTGACGCTGGAGCAGTGACGGCAGAGCGGCAGGGTCCCCGTGAGGCCGCCGCTTCCTCCTCCTCCTCCTCCTCCTCTCTCGCGCAAATAATTTTTTTCTACACCTCTCCGGAGATGACAGTCGGGTGGCGCTTGAGTCTCGCCGCTTCGGAAGCCGCGGGTTTTGTTCACAGAAACGGGGGGAGGGGAGTAGAGCCCTGGGGGTTGCGTCGGAGCGTGGCTTTCTGCGCCGTCCTGATCTCGAGGGAGCGAGGAGGGCCGGGCCGGCTCAAGCCTTCCTCCCCACGCCGCATGGACCAGCCTTTCTTAGGCGCCCTCTCCTCCCAGGGGGTCCATGCCAGACTTCCGCGGCCTCTTCCTGCAGGGGCACGTCGAGCCAAGCTCCTCGCCCCGAGAATTAGGTGTCGTTTTAACATGGACATAAATTTGTAAAGGGGAGGGAGGGAGAATTTGGAAGAGACAGTCGGAAGAGACACTCCCGCCCCCCTTTGAGAAGGGATGAAAGAGTTAAGACCCTCCCGGAGGCGACAAGCGGGGGCCGCTATCCGGCGACTCCGGACCCCCATAAGAACGAGAGTGGCCTTTCCTTCCGCAGGTGGGGTGACCTGACACTGTGGGTCCCGTGCTGTCCCCTCCCCTTTCTCAAGTCCGTGCTCGGAAGCCCCCCCCCCCCCCCCCCCCCCCCCACACCCCTTTTTCTTTTCTTTTTTTAGCGGCAGGGGGTTATTGCAAAGGGACACAGATGGCATGGGCGAGATCGTTTTCGCCTTCCCCTCTTGGACAGAGCAGCTGGCCTGGGCCTTGAGGATACCTGTCCTTTCGCCAGACCTCCCGCTCCCTGTGGCTCCACCGCTTTGTGGTCCCGAGCCTCCCGGGTGCTCCTCCCGATCACCTCTGGCTCCCCACCAGCCCCTCTCCTGTCCCACCCGGTCGAAACAGCCTCCGGCACCCCCCCCCCCCATGTGCGGCTTCCCCATCTGAGCAGGAGCCTGCTCCGTGCTCCCTTTCCCAGCCACAGCAAAGCTCTCCAGCTGGCCCCGCCAACCCCCGCACCTGTCGTTTCCGCTCACCGTCACCGCCAGCCGCGGGTGGGCGCGTGTACCAACATGCCCAGGTGTCCTCGAGAGATGTGGGATGGGTTGGGAGCCCCGAGCATCTCCATGCCCACTGGGCAAAGTGGACAGATGCCCTTGGGGTGGGGGTGGGGGTGCCTGCCCTTCGGTCTCTTAACTGCCCCGGCCCATTCCCAGCAGCTGGCTTTTACGGAACTCCCCGGGGAAGGCCCCGCTGTTCTGGCGCCCTGGGGTAGTAGCCAAGCACTGCCGCCTTCCTCCTCAGGTGAGGGCGTCCTCGTCCCTCGCTCTCCCCACCCACCGGTGCCTGGAATTATACACAGCGTGTTGTGTTGTTTTTTCCCCTCCTTCTCTTATTTTATTCTACTCAGCCGTTTGCCAGATTTCTCAACCGCCGTCTCAGCTTTCAAGGCAAAAAAAAAAAATTCCCCTCCCTCAGATTCTTGTATTTACGTGGGGTGGGGTGGGGTGGGGTGGGCAGAGTTTATAGAAAAGCTCGACTTTTTTCCTTTTTCTTTTTTGTATATATATATTTTTTTTTCCCCTGGACTAAACTTGAGGCCGGGGAAGCCTTCCCGTCGGAAACCATCCCCCCCTGGGCTCCACTTTGCTATTTTTTTAATATTATTATTATTTTTTATCGTCGTCGTGAAGATGTCAGGTGTGACTTTAAAGTCAAGTGTTCCTTTTTCGGACAGCGGAATAACGTTCTGATGAGACTGAGGAGATTATTCCCCCGAGACCCAAAGAAAAAACCGCCCTCCTTTTCGCCCACCCCCACCCCCTGGACACATAGCACAGCATGGA